AAAAAAGTGTGGGCCACAGGGGGGTTGCTCAACACCAGGGTCAAGGGGGTGTCGAGGGAGGGTGTATTCGATGTGCTTTTAGTAGTATTTTCTAACGTACGACGAAATCGAGAGTTTTATTAACTGAAGGATTGAAATTGAAAGCTGATCGATTTACTTCGCGGAAGCGACAATGTTGTTTCTCTCAAGTTCGTCGCGCGTTATTTAGCACCGACGGTACGCTCCGTCGTGTCGGCGAAGTTTGCTCAATTAATCGTATCTATTAACTGAGCAGACTTTCGTGGGGCGGGGTAAACCTCGGGATCGACACTCTATGTGTTTTTCTCCAGGGGCAACGGGGACACAATCGCTGTACTGGGTCAGTAATTGTAGCTAATTTGTGGTTGCTAGCGAGCGAGCTAATTTCTCGCTGGTGTTCGTCTTGCAATAATTTGATGGTTCAATAATTTTCTATTCTACTCTACTCTACTCTACTCTACGCCAAAACTCGTTGATTAATGTTGCGCCGAAGGCATCATTTAACCATCGAGCTTTCAGATCTCTAACGGCGGCATTAAGATTTAAGTATTCGTCAGGAGTTTTAGGGAAACAGGAGTTTCCCTAAAAAAAAGCAACTGATAATCTCTTTGTCTACCAATTTCAATCGAATTCATAGTGAATCTCGTTGGCGGTGCTGCCGCTTTTCCTCTTTCGTTTCGGTTCGTCCCGGTCTCTTCAGGATTGCGAACCGGACCCAGTAGATCTTCAAAGAAGACATAATGACTTTTTCTGACCGTCACTCTATTCATTGAACGGTCTCGAAGGGGGAATCTTGAAAGGGGGATCACTCCTCACGGACACGACATTGGTGCCGTTGCGGGGATATGACAGGACGTCGCTAGGAGCACGAAGCGAAAAGAGAATGATTGTAGAGAAAGAGAAAGAGATAGTCAGCGAGGTACCCGTACTAAGTACCTTCGGGAATCGCGATAGACGTCTTCGTCATCGCCGAAGGGCTAAACGGAGAAATAGCTGTCATAGTCGTAAGCGCGCAAAATCGACCAAAGTCAACGTAAAGCAGCATCGACGTTTCGCGATCAGGTCCTGATCCTGGCGAAGTTCCGGAAACGTCGATTGAAATTCCGGAAGCCGATCACGTCGTCGCTCGGCTCTCAAAACTCGTCCGGCACGTTCGTCCATGGAGTCGATCGGCTGCCTGGGTGGCTGATCGAGCTCTCAACCATGACCACGAGGTCACCGGCAATAAAATACCTTCTCGATTAGCTCGATACAAGCTAACAAGTCCATGCCGAAGTCAATGAACACCCAATCGATGCCCTCCTTCTTGTACTCTTCTTGCTCGAGCACGAACATGTGATGGTTGAAGAACTGTTGCAACTTCTCGTTGGTGAAGTTGATGCAGAGTTGCTCAAAGCCGTTGTACTATTGTTTGCGGCACGTGCGCGCGGAGGCGTGCGGTGAGACAGGTGTAACGGGCGGATAGACGAATAGAGAGGATCGTACAGGGGGATCGAGGAGGTAAGGAAGAGACAGAAAATATTATCAATGAGACGAGATTCAGCGAGATCTCGATTCAATGTCTGTGTCGCGTATAAAGAGTGTGGTCAAGTTTTGTCCCAACCCATACAGCACAAATCTTTAAAGGACGTTCTAATGACTTTCTAAGGACATTCATACATCCTGAGAACGTCCCAGAACATTCTCTGAAGATTTTGTGCTATCTGGATTTTTACGGCATTCGAAATCATTTTATTTTATTTTTTTTTCCATAAAATTGTAGCTATATCCGTAGATTAAAGATGTATAAGTATCAAAGTGACGCGCCTCACCATTTGGAAGAAAATGGTCCAAAGGGATACCTATTTTGTCGGGATAAATGATATCGTTAGGACTCTTACAGGAAACGTTGCAAGGAATAGGATTTATAATAAATGTTGCAAGAGACAAGGATGAAAATCTTTATCAATAAGACAACACGGATTATATTTATTTTGACAGAATACGGATCTGTTTTAATCATTTTCTTTCAAATGATGAGACGCGTCACTTCGATATTTGTATATATATTTTTAATCTACCCATCAATAACTACAATTTTATCAAAAAATAATTTAAGAATTCAAGTGTCACGAAATGGGATTTTTAAGAGCTTGGCCGTTCTCTTTGTGTATTGAGTTCGACACGTGTACTGTTGAAATTGTACTTGACTCTGAAAGAAAAGTAATCCACATCTCGTAAAATTACTGGATTTGATATTTACGCGAGTAATTTCTTTGATTACAATTTAATATCCGTGACTTCTAAATCCTCGGAGTCCCCGAGATTTCCCACGAAGACGTACTATGCGCGTGAATTAAAAAAAAGAAAAAAAAAAAAAATCTGAATACGCTTTGTGTGAATTCCGTCGATCTTCCTTTGTTTAACAAACGCGCAGGAGAGGAAAGAACTAGAAGTAACTAACACACTACGACAGTGGAACGATAACACATGATCGAAATTGGTAATTGATCATATTCTTGAAATTTTTGTGTATACACAAATTTTATTGCGCAGCTATTTTATGATAGGATTATATCTGCACAAAAGAACTTGCGTACACGCAAAAGTTTGGAGAATATGGGCCCTGGACATGAAGATGAGAGGATAGAGGAGAATCAGGATAAACAGGTATGATGATCAAGATGTAACGATACAAGAAAACAGTGGACGATCACTTGATTGGCTTATGAGGATAGAAAGCGTTAGTGTGGCGGTCTCCTCTGATTTGTGATAAATCGTCAGGGATTCCCGCATGGCGGTGCTGGTTGTCGCAAACTTTCCTTGTGCCGTTGATTCGTGCGTTATTCAGTGGCTGAAATGTTTCTTTTCATTTTTTATTTCTTTTTTTTCCGGCCGAACCCGTCTGTCGGGTCTTTGCTGGCCAGGATCGTTCCGTCGTCCTTTGTACCTTCTCGATCAAGTCGATACATGCGAGCAGGTCCATGCCAAAATCAATGAAGGCCCACTCAATGCCCTCCTTTGTGTACTCCTCTTGTTCGAGGACGAACATGTGGTGGTTGAAGAACTGCTGCAGCTTCTCATTGGTAAAGTTGATGCAGAGCTGCTCGAAGCTGTTGAACTGTTCGAGAGCAAGAAACAGGCATGCGTGTATCATACGTTCTACTTCTCTTTTGCCGTACTTTCGCACATTTCCCGCGCTCGCGCGCGATTCTTTCTCAGTCCTGTCTCGCGCTCGCAGTGCGAGTGCTTTCGGAGAATACCTCACACACACACACACACACACATCTACGTGTAACTCCAGTCGGAGTCCAATGATAAAACTGCCCAAAGTTTCGACTGGAAGCGACTGACGAATAAAAGAGGACTCTTGCCCGATTTCTCTTTCTAACAAAATCACAGAAAATTTTATACGATAATCGATGAAATATTTAAATTAAATTGAAAGAGATAATCCTTTATATATCCTGAAACTGCCAATAAGTGCGGTTTATTAATACATAAACTCCTCTCTTCTATAATAATGACATTAGATTGAGATGTTGTTTCTCTATAAAAAAAATTCTCTATTAAAATTTTCTAATCTTTTCGGAGTCATGGAATAAATTCCATAATTCTATAAGTCCTGAATCCACTATCGTCTATCAACTTGTCGACGAAACTTCGGGCTTATCAAGATATCCTACTGCGAGGATTCTTTTCATGATACGAATCGGTGGTGTAGCGCACCGTTCATCAATGGAAGATGAGGTCTCAATTTGCGACCTAGCATGAGGTCGTTTTTTGAACCTGGGTTTCGCAAACTCACCGGTGTATCGGACTATTACCGATTATTCTGAAACACTTATAGGTCTGTGGTTTGTATGACAAAAACATGAGAAATCTGATCAAAGACGAACAATTCGCTCGTCTATAATCGGACTTGGTAAAAATCAAGTATACCAATAGGGTCCAATAATATTAGTCTACTTCCAACAACTACTACCAACTCAATCGTTACACCAACGTAAGGAAACCAACGTGAAAGGGTTTCACGATTCTGACCGTCCTGTTTGCTAATGGACAGTTGAACGTGTGCGGTTCGTTCGAAGTTGGGGGACGAGAGGTTAATCAACTTTACGCCATGTCTACTGCACGTGAAGTCCACTGTTTCGATACTTTCAATGATAACAATAATGGACTCATATGATACCTCTTCGCTTGCTGAATGGAATGGAACCCTTTACCTGATGTGCGTTGCCTCTTCGAGCCAGAGATAGAGCGAACGAATGTTTTCCAAGGTCTATGAGCATGCTTCTCGGAAATACAACCCGTATATCGACAGTCGTGCCGCCTCAAGGAAAAGATTAAGTTTCATGATTCGCAGAAAATCCGTTATTTTCACGTGAAGAGGAGTTCTATATCTAGAGAGACTAGAAGGACTAGAAGGACGATAAAAGGCGGCTTTTCTAAATCATGCATTTTCTTCATCGCCAGGAGTGACGTAAATCATTACCTGAGAGAGTGACTGTCGAGATACCTCGGCATATTAAGAATTTCTTTCTAATCTATCTACAGGAAAACATTCCATTAGATGTTCACCAGTTCATTCGGGATGATACGGATCTATTTTATCTAAGTTCTAAGAGACTAATGGAAGACTAATGGAGACTAATGGAACATCTAAGTTTTCGTTGGGACTCGCAATGTTGGAGGTCCCAAGGAGACGACGAAGACACGTCAGGGAACGACCCACGACGAAGAGGCAATTGTCCTCTGGTGAGATTCGTACAGTCGTACGAACGTACAAGAATAACGTGCGACAAGCAAGAAAACTACAGCTCTATCCACATATACATGTAGAGATATATATATACATCTCCTGGAGGGGGAAGGTGAATAGATATCGATCGTTCACCTTCTCGATCAGCTCGATACAAGCTAGCAAGTCCATGCCGAAGTCAATGAACTGCCAGACGATGCCCTCCTTCTTGTACTCCTCTTGCTCGAGCACGAACATGTGGTGGTTGAAGAACTGTTGCAACTTTTCATTGGTGAAGTTGATGCAGAGCTGCTCGAAGCCGTTGTACTGCGAGACACCGAGGTATCGAGATATAATAATTTGTGGGGTTCTGAACCTCTCTCTGCGAGAGATCCGAAGGGGGACTTTACGATCGGCTGGGAGAGGAGGCTCGAATCACCTCGTCGTCCGCTTCTCTCGTGGCACGTTCGATTTCGAGAGAGTTCTCTTTTCTTTCCTGCTTTACTTCTTATCGTGGGACTAAATGCGAAATTCGTGTGGATCGAAGGCGCAAATTTGTTCGCGCCCTCGGCATTCTCTTCTATCGTGTGTCGATTCTATTTTCGGATCACGCCGACGATTCAAAGAAAGTAGAGCGTATACCGTGCGAGTTCTCCTCGAAGGGGAAATATAACTGTTTTTTTTTTTCGATATGGCAATCTCTCCGTCGAGTTCTTAACATTATAAATATCGCGCGTAATCGGGGCGCGAAATAAGATTTGATTCTACTGATGTAAACGATGGAAAACTTTCAGAATCGACGGAACTAACTTCGAGCGAGAATCGTCGACGATCACGTTTAGTGTGTACATGTATTCATCTACGTATGTGTACGCGGATAGGTGGCCTGCGAAACTTACGTCGAAGATCTCGAAACCGGCGATATCCAGTACACCAATGAAGTGCTGTCTCTTCTGCTTGGTGTCTAGGGTCTCGTTACACTTCTTCACCAGCCATTTGAACACTCTGTCGAACATCGCCTTCGACATGGCGCCCACGGAGTAGGCTACCTGGTCCTTGTTACGACCCTGGGTGACGAACTCGTTACCGACCTTGATCCTTGGCTTCAGCAAGTTCTTGTAAAGGTCGGCACAGTCGGTGCCAAGCAACTTAGCCACGCGGTCACCTTCCTGAAACACGGAAAATGACGGTTACTTCGGGATATTTACAGTCTCGCTTGCTTCGAAATTCACGCACAGCGACAGCAGTGTGTCGAGAAAGTGAGAGGAATTTAACGACCCCCCGAATACAATAAAAATCGTGCTCTGCAACTCTACGCGAGATTCTCACCTCAGTTCCATCGGCTTCAGCCTGTTCCTCACGACCCCTTTGCTTGAACTTCATGCCACCCATGTGCATGACGGCCGCGGTGATCTTGTAGATGTCGTCCTTCTCCTCTTGAGTAAAGCCCAACACATCGAAGGCTTGCTGTTAGCAGAGAAAATTTCGTCAGACGTTCGTCCGTCCGAGTTTCTCGCGTCAGAGGAGTAGGTCTCGAGTCGCGAAAGATCGTTTGATCCGTCACGAATCGAAACTAAAAGTACTAATCACCGAAGAATGAGAGAACTACAAAGAAGCGACGACTCCTCCGACGCGATTCTCGTTGTCAATATTGATAAACGTGGACGAGCGGCGGTTAATGGAAGCACACAAGGACGACACGAGTAGCAGGAGGCGTTACACTTCCAAGCACGACGAACAATCGACGTGGCTGGTTACTCTCTTAAAGTGAATCAGTCAAAGTGTTTCTGATTGAATCAGTAAGAGGAACATTACATGAAATAATATTGTCTGTGTTCGCAAAATGCATCAATAATAGAAATAATCATTATTATTAACTGATTCTTTTAGCGAGATTTTATCGATGTATAACTGAATACTCGGTTATAAGTATAGCATTTCAGTGAGGTATACACTGATTGTACTTAGAGAGTATATCGTGCCGTCGATCGCTCGGATTCGTGCTCGAAAGCTACGAGAGAAAGAAGAGATAGAAAAAAGAGATAGAGTGTAAAAGCTAGCGTGGCGTGAAGCTCGAAAAGAAGTCGCCTCGCTCAAAGCGGCGGCAGCGAGCCGAGAAGCAGAAGCAAAGAGCACATGTTTACGTGACGTTGGTTTCTTCCTTGAGCTCCGAGTGTACGCAAGTCAACGAGGTTTCTCTCGGGACTATACAGTTTGAAACCAGAAGAAGAACAAGAAGAAAAGAAAGAAGAAGAAGAAGAGAGTTCTGAAGAAGACGACGAAGTTGCAAGCGCGATTTCCTTGCAAGGCGTCTTCTTCGTGGTGAAAGAGAATCAAACGCGCAGTCGAAGCGCGGCCCTTCAGGGTCAGCCTGGAGGACTTCTCGTGCCTTGCGCGAAGGGTGACTCCTCTCGCGAAGATCGCTCCTCTCTTGACGTCGACCTCGGGTCGGCGAAGAATCCCAATTCTCTCGAGGCTAAGTCTCTGATCGTCTCGATCTCGATCTCGGTCGGCAATCACAATACCAAAGTTTCAACAGGGAGGTTCTTTTACAGGACAGGGTGAGTCTAACTACTGGAATCTCAACGGGACCGCTAACTACTGGGGAGCTACAAAGTTCAAAGTATCATCGGGGGTCGTCTCTCGATCAACGGGGGACGATAGAGAATTCTGGTCGAGATCTCTCGCGTGTTTCCAGACTAAAAAACTGGAGTCGTTGCAACACTATCACCGAAAATACTTGAAAAATTGTCTATTATTATGTACATGACACTCGCACGGAGTTCGATAATGAAGCAGCAATCTAGTCCCGAGTATTAACCACGAGGTAATACCTCGTTGACACGATTCGCTGCCTATTATCATCCGCGCTTCTCATTATCACTCACGAAAACAACAGCGACGTCGATCTTCAAGCTACGATTATCTTTTCACTATGTCTTTCGTCACCAAGAACACCACAATTATTTGCGACCATTAATATACCGTTATTTATAAAATCGTTATCTTTAGATATCTTTAGGTTTAATTAAAGAAAGATAATCAATAACATTTCACTGATGCGTGATCGACGTCGCCGATACTACGAGGGGAATCTCCAAAATGATAGATCCAAAGATACGGGGTGGTTCGATACAGGGCGGGATCTTGAAAGATGGCATTCATTTTCCACGATCGGGGGTGAGATAACTAGGACTTACGTCCGTCAGTAAACATTCCTCGCCGTCGTCGACGTTGGGGATCGTGATTTTTCCTTGGGACACGTTGTAATAGTCGTATATGTTGTTGGACAAGAAACACATATCTGTGAATCATTACGAAGAGTTGAATTCGTCTCTCATTCGTGGAGTCTCGCCCGCGAGGACCCACGGGATCCTCATTCCAGTTCTCGCTTTATCCCTTTCCGATCTGCGAGCGACTCGTTCACGCGAGTCTCGCTATTAATTTTCGCGACTGAACAGCGTTCGTCAGCCTGGCATATTCGGGGTCGGGCGTGTATCGGGGAGCGGGTAAACGGGGGTGACCGGTTTCTACGCGTTCAGACAGAGGAGAATTTTCCGGCACGAGAAGAGAATCTCTCCTCGTACCCCCAATCTCCCCGCACCCCGATTGCGGCGGCAGGCAGCTTTCGCAGGCGGGGGGCGAGGGGGTGGCAAATCCTTAGCCAAGCTCGGACACCACCTCGCTCGTCGCTCGTCGTTCGACGACGGGAGAGAGATGTTGAGAATTTTCCTTTAAAAAAAAATCAAGCCATGTAAATATAAGTTGCCGACATTGCCGGAAGCCAAATGCGATCTCACGACAAGCGAGGGGGTGTGAATTTCGCCAAGGCTCCAGAACACCCTGGGGGCTGGACTTACGTCCGTTTCTTCCATGGCCTCGCCGTCGTTGACCCCCGGAATTCTGGTCTTACCCTGGCTAATGTACCAGTAGTCGCCGATCCGGTTGCTCAACATGGTCGTTTCTGTATTAGTTTTGCTTTTTCGACCTCGTGCCTTGTGTCCCTCCGATCAACGTCACATACGAACGTCGATCGTGATCGACAAGCGAGCGATCGCGACCACCGTCAGCCACTGTTCTAAGTCACTATTATCGCCGTTGCGAAGCTTGCTCTTCGGTCAGCCCGAGTAAGCAATTGGGTCGGTAATCAGTTTGACCATCAATCGATGTTGCGATAATGCGAAAGTGACTAAGAGGAGAAGCCGTCGGTGCTCGCGACGATTTGCAAAAACATACACGGCAAATTATTGGCGGCGAGTAGTCGCTGAAAGAATGACAGAGCGATAGAGAAGAAGAAGAGAGATAAGAAATTAGAGAAAAAAAGAGAAAAGAGAAGAAGAAAGAAGTGATGGAGACGTAGATGTCCGCGTGTCGGCGTTTGATGCAAAGATGAAGATGCTGCAAGAACATGATGGTTAAGAGCTGAAATGAAAGATAGAGAGAGAGAGAGAGAGAGAGAGAGAAAGAAAGAGAAAAAGAGAGATAGAGAGAGAGTATAGAAGATAAATAGCAGACAGAGAAATTATAGCAACATATTCACACATACACAATAGATAATAGGCAAGTAGCAGCTAAAATGTACAAAGGTTTAAAAGTTCAAGATACGTGAAAGGTATCACTATTCTGTGTTGTAGTGTTGAAGCGATACCTTTCAAAGTAGTCATTGTACACGGAAAGGCGACAATTATATACACAGAGAGGACCTAGTGCTTAGAGAGTCGGACCAGCGAGCGTGGAAAATAAAGATCTCGAGAATATCTTTGCGTGTCGATTCTAAGAAGAATTCGTCAATCAAACGTAAAATTTTAAAACTAGTGAGAAGAGACTATCTTTATTTTGAACTTTCTACCTTGACCGTGTGTGAGGAACACGGATCTTTCGCGAGAAAAGAATACTCTCGGTATGAAATAAAAATGAAAAACGAAAGAACGAAAAGAAGAGAGTCTCTGGTTGATTTATCTCAACCCGACGCGATAAAGCGCGACTGCCGGCGGCCGGCTGGTCCAGGTCGTTGCACTTACGTCGGTGATCAACAGTTCCTCGCCGTCATCGAGGCCGGGAATCGTCGTCTTGCCTTGCGACACAAAGTAGTAGTCTTGGATGTTGTTGGACAGCAGCAACATCTCTACGGGTGGCCGGGTAAAAGAAAGAAAGAAAACATGCGGGTGGTTAGAAAGAAACCGATGGTGGGGGCCATGCTTCCTGGTGGCTTTCCATCGTGCTACTTGGAGATCGGTATTTACAATAGGATTTGCGAACTACTACGAGTCACCGCACAATTCTCAGCTACGTCTCAAAGAGACAAAGATATTGGCGGGGTGACAATGATATGGGACGCGGCTACCTGTTCACCAGGGGTTAGCTCGACGAGGGAACCATCAAACGAGTCGCATGTGCACTCATTGAACTATTTCTAACGTCCAATTTCTTCCGTAAATCATATCCACACGCGCGGTCTTATTAATTTACCGCGACGAGAATCGAATTTTATTCGAATTCTACTGCTGCTTGTTCGAGTCTGCACTGGCGGTTCTCCGAGATGGTCCTCTCATCCACGGCACCAAATCGATACTCAAGGAGTACACGCTACGTTCAAGGTACACCTCTCTACGGTATAGCAAGATACCGCTACTCCCTTTGCGGATTGCGCCTTGATTAGGAGAGTGAGAAACCACCCACAGAATCTCCGAGTTCTCGCTACGGAGAGCCGACTCTAAAATACCAACACACTGTTTTACGGGGGACACGTGGCCGTCGTGATTCCGCTCTGGTCACGTCAATGACACTTGATTAGCTTCCTCTTGGCTCAAGTACGAAATGAGCGTTGTAAACCGCTCTTTGAAAAATTCCTCTTTCTTGTGAAAATCGACCTCGACGGTCACGTCTCCCTTCGTCACCCCGTTCTAGAGGCGTTGCTAATTGCCCACTACGGTCCCTCCGGGCAACGGTTTCGTATGGTTAATTCAAGAAACACCGCGTGGCCAGCAATTGGGTTTATGTCATGTACAGGGCGCAAGGAGGGTGTGAGAAACAAAGTTATGAGAGGCCTGCGATACTCGTCATCGTCAGGTCCTTACGTCGGTCAAAAGACACTCCTCGCCGTCGTCGACGTTCGGGATCGTCGTCTTGCCCTGAGATACGAAGTAGTAATCGTTGACGTTGTCCGAAAGAAGGCACATGGCTGCGTGGAAGGAGGATAAATGTGATAATACTTCGTAGTGAGAATACTTGGTGATGCAAGATGGTAAACGAGGCCTATGCTCCGTCAGGCACCTGCCTCTCCTTCCGACGCCTAATCCTGGTGGTCTCATTATGTCGAGAAAGAGCGCTCGCAAAACCCGGACTAAGACCGAAAAGAGATCGCGACGCTTTCGACGAAACGATCGCTACCTCGAGAAAGTCCATTCGAACTCTGCTAAGTTCTCATCTCTCCGAAGAGGATTCTGAGGAATATTTGTATCTATGTTATTATATCTCGAATAATTAATTCATTGGATTAACTTCTAGGAATGTAAATCATAGATGTCCCGTGAATTTTTCGAAGCAGCGATGGTCCGTCCAGGTGATCCTTGAAGAGAAGGTGATATAATTCGCAGGGAACGCGCGCGAAGGACGGAATTCTATTCCGAGTTTGACCTAACTTTCATTCTCGCGGGACATCGGTGAGCTTACCCTTTACTCCCTTGACCGATCCGGACATAATCTGGTAGAAGATGTGGTAGGAACGCTCGAGGGTTTGTTGGGAGATGACACGAGCCTTCTCCAGTAGATCTGAGCGAGGGAGAAGATTGTTTTTAGAATCGATCGTACAAAGAGCAAGGCGCTTTCGAAGTCCCCAGCTGACGTCGGGAGCATTGCCACAAGCGTTGGGCGAGAAATAATTGATCACCCCTTAACCGGATTGTATTGCACGGCGAGGAGACGTGGCACGTTTATAGCGAGCGTAGTCATCGAGTCACACGATGACGCGGGCGGAATTTCAGCCAAACGAAACATGCTACGCACGCAACGGGGACGCGTAGCGCGTCGGGTTGCAAAAATAACCGATGCAATCGAAGAACGAGAGGTGCACACGCGAGTCGAAGCCAACTGCGCCCGCGTGTGTTGCATCGCGACGATAATAAACGCGCGCTCGCCTTCCGTTACCTTGACGCGCGCCGCGTGAAACACCGTGCCGCCTCTCTAACTACGCAAAATTTCAGACCACTCGGGGAAAAACCGCGGTGACTTCGAAACGCGCCTTTTCGTACTCGCGTCGAGGACGCTCCGGTCAATCTCCACCGCGGCAAGGCTACTCACAAGTCTCAATGTCGGCACCGGCTAGTTTTCCAGAGGGACCAAAGTGAATACGGATGAATTTACCCTATTCGAGAACAAAGACAAAAGTGCAGTTAAACTACCAAGTTGAGCACTCGAAATTAATTTCTTTTTTAGTCAGCCATAGTATAAAAGAAAATACTTATCATTCAAAAGAGATAAATCTTTTCTACTTTAATTTGAATACTATCTTATGTTTGAAATAAATGATTGAACATTATTTTACTTTCAAAATAAATAATTTTTAAATAAATAAAATAGATAAATTTTTATCTATCATATAAATCTATTGTATTATATATATATTTTTATCTATCATATATATCTATTGTATATCTATTATATACAATATATATTTATTTTATTATATGTAATGTAATAAAACAGATAAATTTTTAAAACTTTTACCGAATGAATCTAAAGTAGAAACGACTACAACTCTCAAAAGCATTTGCAATATAGTCGCTTCTTCATGGTCCAAATTTCGCGAACCACTATTAAATTATGCAATCGTTCATCTTGGCCGAACATAGTAATGGCTATTTCGCGCCGTTGGACGATACATTTGATGCTATTACACGAAAATAGAAGCACTTACGAAACGAGAGGAGTTGTCATTACGGACGGTCTTGGCGTTACCGAAGGCCTCTAGGACAGGATTGGTCTGGACGACTTGATCCTCCAAGGAGCCCTTCTTCTGGTTCGGATCCTCCTGCTTCTTCGAGGTCGAGGCACCGACGGTGGCGAAGTACGCAATTACCTTCTTCGTGTTCTCAGTTTTCCCGGCTCCAGACTCACCGGTGATCAACATGGACTGATTCTCACTATCTGTCGGGCACGAGAAGTACGGATTTTCCGGTCAACGGATTGTGCGAGATCACATTGTGCCCATTTGGCGCGAGTTGGAGGCAAAACTTCTGACACGTCGTCTCTTTCAGTAATTCAAACATTATGAAATCGTAAAAGTTAATTGAATGCTACGAAGAATAAATGGAACTCTGCGATGAATTACTTGAAAATTGGCCATAGTTATGCAGGAATGATCCAACTTACAAAGTTATAATTTTTGGTTCTGGTAAGGTTCTGGTTTTGGTCTGGTAAGATTCTGTTCTTTTTTTACTAATGAGTAGTATGTACATATATCTTTCTATATAAAACAAAATAGATCCAAGCCTTATGGGCGTCTAAAATTAATTAAAAAACAGTTTTCATTTTTTACTAGTTGCGCTATTTTTTACTAGTTGCATCTTTTTTACTTAGTTTTTAGGGTTAAGCTTGTTAATGAATACTCTTAAAGAGGAGGAAATTGACCGTATTGGACTTCTAAGACAATTGCAAAAAAAATAATTTAAGTGCTATTTATACTTTTTAAATCATGTATTAAATTTTCATCTTCAATTTCCTCAAAATACACTTTATATTGGATCGTTCTTGCATAACTAATTGATCTAACTTGGTCACTGAGTCGAGACGATAATTCAATAACAATGAATCTTTAATTTTTAATGCTTCGATCTTTTCAAGAGTTAACTGCACACTTTTACGTACTGGTAAGCATGTTGACGTAAGCTCCGTCAGAGATGGCGAAAATGTGCGGTGGCACTTCACTACGCCTTTTACCACGGTACAGTTTGGCGCATCTCCCTGTGTACACGGGGAACCTTTTGTAGGGATTGATGGCCACGCAAAACAGGCCGGAGTAGGTCTGCAAAGATAGAGAGACGAACGTACGATTATAAAGGTGAAGTCTTCGCGACTCGAAGAATCAGGACGGCTTCGAGCGATCCGTGGTGGCTCAGCCGGTCTCTGCGGTCACCAGGATGTAGATCTCGATCCTGAACGTGCGATCTGTCTTGCTCTCATGAGACAGTTGCGTGCCAAAAAGATTATCGACCAATCTCAGCTATGCGAATCTTCCAATACCTTCCGATATGGCAAATTATTAGACATTACAGTATTCAGTTTCAAACGACGTTATGATGAATAAAAGACACGGAATCATCATGTTACAGAATTGTCTACTTGAAATTCGCATCGCTCAAAGATTCGGATAACTGAAATCTATCCATAAAAAACAAATACGTCGTCGATAGTATCCGATTATGTCATCGTCGCTGTTATTTGGAGATTTCCGCGCAACTGGCGATAGACAAATTAATCGTATATATTCGTGCGAATAATTAATAAAGACAAAAAGAACGTCAAGTATACAAAAACGTCGAAAAACGTACGCAAAAGAAGTAACAAAATTAATATTACGTTATGTGACTGATTCGACAGACCAAAATCGATAATATCAACGACGTGAGCGAAATATATACAGTGGACAAAAGTGAAAACAAAAAACAGGTCGAATATCGCGATGCGGGAACAGTCCATCTCCTATCACGGTGGATGCGGTACTCGCGTCTCGAAGCGAGAACATCCTTCGGAGATCTCCGTTTCGTGAGTGCGATGGACGACATTGGATTAATCACTACGGACGGAACACTTGGATGGGAGACAAACACAGCGACAAAGTAAACTCCACTTTCATCTATCTATCTGTCTAGCTATTCACAAAAAAGAAAACAGGAAAATCGAAGCGCACACCTTTCGTGCGCCCGAAGTGAAGGGAGAACCTCGTCCTCGCGGGAGCAAGGCTCATTATCGATGAGAAACGCAGGAGACGTCGCGGCACGTCGTTGTGCTTTATAACGACGCCTCCGTGAAGGACTCGTGCATCCTTGCGAGCTCTGCATCGCGGATGACGAACAGAGGATAAGACAAAAAAAACAAAGCGGAAGGATCCGCGTAAGGGTGGACGTCGCGAGACGCGTCTCGGCGTTTTGAGCGACCAAATCCGTTCTTCACGGAAATTTCACGAAAGAAGACAGGAGAGCGATATAGAGAGAGAGTAGTGTAGAGACACAGAGAGAGCATACGAGTTTACAGCAACTCGCGAGTGACAGAAGAGGAACATAGTTGGGGCTAGACAAAACCAGACAAAGCCGGGGGAGAGAGCCAGGTGGTGTCCCTGCACTCTCTTTTCTGACACGAGCATCTCCATTGCGAGCGGAGCCTTACGTAGATGAGCTTGGCGTAGTAACGTTGCTTCAAGTTGTGGAGGACCGAAGCATCGTTGAGGTAGGTCAGATTGGACATGTCCTCGCATTTCTCGTACTTGGGCGGGTTCACCTGTTGGAGCTGGTCCTTCTTGTAGTCCTTGGTCTGTCACGCGTCCGAGTGGACAGAAAAGAGAGAAGGCGCGGTTAGTGAGGAAGAGTAATGATAGGCGACTTACGTAGATCAGTTTGCTGTAGTAACGCTGCTTCAGGTTGTGCAACACCGACGCCTCGTTCAGGTAGGTCAGGTCTGCCATGTCTTCGGCTTTCTCGAATTTCGGCGGATTCACTTGGGACAGCTGGTCCTTGCGGTACTGTTTCGTCTGCGCGAGCATTGCGGAGAATTCTTTCGTTTCTGTTTATTTCTCTTTCCCTTCCCCCCTGCCGTCTTCAACTTTTATCCCGCATTTCGCGTTGCCGTTATGTGTTAAGGCTCCTCGTACCTTGCCATGTTGGATTTGTGACGTCAGAAGCGAGAAATGATGCGTTGACGAAAATTGCATGTCACTTTTAAATGAAGATAAATACGGGCAAAACAACATTTGAGATCGCTTGAGTACATTTGTAAAATTTTTCGAAAACTATCTTTTTCCCCTGACAATCAGTAAATAGTCGTATAATAAATGATGAAATAAAACATTCAGATAAAATAGGCTAATCTCATTATTTCACTATTTATTATACGACTATTTACTGATCATCGCGGGGGAAGGAATATCTTTCGGACAATTTTACATTTGCTCAAGCAATCTCAAATGCTCCTTCATCCATATTTATCTTTCTTCAGGAATGGCACGCAATTTTCGTCAGTATGTCATTCCTCGCTTCTGATCTCACAAATATGATGGCCGGCGAAATACAAGCAGCCTTAATCGATTGACTTTTGCTACTTTTCCGCCGCATAAAGTCGACACGGAATCATCTATCCCGGGTGTAAATGCATGCATCAAGATGTAGCAGCGTTTAAATTTCTACAGCATTCATATCGCCTACGGATGACTACTCCGTACGGACTATCTGTTTAAGGTAAAGCACCCAATTATTGGTATCTCCTTAGTCACCGAAACTCTAGGAAGAAGCTTGGTTTTGCATGCGACCAGCATTGCAGTTGAACTTCTCGCCTGCACTCAATGATCCCGAAAAAGAACTTCGCTATCTAAAATTGCGAACAACTGCCATTGGCCGCGAGAGAAACCAGGCTCTTCTAGCGTGTTGATGACCAAGAGGAATCAATAATAAAGTGTTTATAATTAGGTGTTTCACCTTATTGTGATATACTTACGTTTTACCATTGCTAGCTGTTAAATTAAATCAGATACCAAAGTATATTTCGTGTAACTGTGTGGTCACAAGTGACAAAACACGTATTAACCGTTCATTAATCATTAATCTTTGAAACACGTCGGAGTCGCCCTTGCCAAAAATCTTGACAAGAAGCGGAAAGCGACGGCTGGAATTCTTTTCCTCGCGACGGTCGTGTTGCGCAAAGAGCCCGAACTTTTTGGCAGCCGCTGATGACATCTTTCTCTCCCTCTTTCTCTTTCTCTCTCGGCGCTGTCGGACGGTTGCTCTAAAAATACGTTGACCCGCGTTTCGAGAAGTGGCGTTTCGACTTATTATTACGCGCGCCGACGGCGATGCTAACAATAGCGTTTAGGCGTTCGGGAACGAGGCGACGGCAGAACGGGTTTGCTGAACCGTTATGTAACAACCGGCGGTTCCACGACAGGATATCGCGGTCGTTCAAAGAAATAGCGAAACTATCGAAAAGTAGTACTTTTTTCCAGAGAAGACGCAAGGAAAAAGCGCAACGATCTAGCAACGGGAAATGTACTCTGAGGAGAAAATCCTCGCGATACGCGACAAGCAATGATGGCGACCGTGGATGAAGATTTCCGCTTTCAAATTGCATATCACTGACGTTTGAACGGGAGACAGTGGCGCCATGGTTTCACGATGAAACAAGCCGAATTCTTTCAGGCCGTCCTTTACGTAACGCGCTTTTAGGCATCGGGTCTCAAAGCTTCAAGCTCGAGCTTTATTTCCGTCCAGCGAAAAGAAAGCCTACGGCTTCGTCGGCCGGGTAGCAGAAGGTCGTAAGTGCTCGGTAGCGGTGGTGGCGGCGGTGGTGGTGGCGGCCGGTTTTCTGTTTTCCAAAAATAGATCGCCAGCGAGATCCCCGAGTTCCTCTTCTCTTGCCCACCCTTCTTTTTATATATATAGAAGCGAGCAAACCCCCTCCTTCCCACCCTCACTCTCTCTCTCTCTCTCTCTCTCTCTCTCTCTCTCTCTCTCTTTCCGTCTTGCTGTCGGTGGAGCCGGTTAAAAAATTGCCAAGACGGAGGGAGAGATCACGCCTCGATCCTTCCATGGCGATCGATGGAAATCGCCGTGCCGTAAACAGTCCGTCCCCTTCCGCCGTGTCGCCGCTACCGCCACCGCCGCCGTCGCCAGGCGAAAATCATGCGGAGCGAACGGATTTATCCGGCAAAATCGGCACGCACGTTGACGACGCCTTCCTTGAGCGCGCGAATGCTTCCCGATGTAATGGTGCTCTCGAAAAGAGTTACGTCACCGGTTTCGGGGTCTAGTTCGAAAGAGCCAGAGAAAGACAGAGACGATGCTTACAGTTGGATCCGACTAAGATTCCCTGTTTCATTGCGTACAAGGAATTATTTCAACCCCGACTCTTTTTATATGACACTATGATTTGTCGTTGTTCATAAAGACCTCTTGTACCACCGGTTTCTTCTCTTTGCAATGTATATTTTTTAGATCGTAAGGTTCCTTTCATGTGAGAAATTCGATAATAAGCAGCCAAGTTAGATCGTGCATTTGGAAGTAAAGAAACGTGAATCGCGAGTGAAAAAATTAGCGTCGCATAGAAAAAGTTGTTACGTGAGAGACAGTACAAAAGCCGACTCGCGATGGATAGTAGAAAAGATCGTTTTGCGACCGACAGTAGAAAAGTTCGCTTTGCGACGGACAGTAGAAAAAACGACGTATAAACGGACCGACCATGACGCTTTCGCAGGAGCGATCGAGAATTGTTCATTATATCGCGACGGCCTAATATAATTAAATGCACCGTTTAATTAATAATTATTTAAAAAATGAAATATCAAATTATAAAAAATTAGAACAAATCTTGAATAAATCTTAAGATACTTCATAAATGTTTCGGAAAACGAGACTGCAGAATCATATGATCCAATTAACTCAAGCATTAGTTTGCTCGAATGTAATGGCTGACACTCCCTCGAGAGTTATTCGAAGACTCGTGCTCGTACATATACACCACTGTTTGTTGCAAATACAAATTCTATTGTATCTTTCGCGAAGAGAGCAAATGAAACTCTGAAAGATCAGAGCTTCCCGAGAATATTCTCGTCAACCATTACATTCCAAACGGCTCGACACCTCTTGAGGATAACACGAAATGTCGAGCGAGCGAACAAGAGAAGAGTCAGGGTTCCATCACGGAGTACACACCTCGCCGCCAGGCAAGCTGACGCTGACGACATCACCCTTGGTGGCTTTGATCTCGCCAAGGAGGTAGCCCTCCTTCTCGTCGGGCACCCAACATGCTTTCTTCGCATCGTAGGGTTTCGTCTGGTCGATTCTCTTCTGCTCAAGGGAGACGAAGAGGTATGGGGTCGGATCGGGATCCTCTCCCTCCTGGGCCTTCGGGGCTGGCATCTTGCTGCGGCTACTCTTCCGGGCTCTACTGCGCGCGCGAAACTGACTCCGTGGCACTCACGGGGCACTACTTGTGGGGTCTCTTCGCTTCTTCTTCGTTCGTCCCACTGCTGGTCGCCGGGAGGGGAGGACTGCTCTCTTCCTCTTCTTCCTTGTCGTTTGCCTTCGGGGGTTGTTGTTGATTCGGCGGCGGACGGACTACTTCTGGCGGCACGTTCTGGGCGGCCCTGGGGGATGATCGGTTATAATCCTCTCTCGCGGCGCTTTGCATGCGAGGCTTGCTCCCTCAAACCGCGACACGTACATGTTGGACGATGGCACGAGAAGCGAAGCTCTTATCGTGTAAAGTGTTTGCGTAAAGAAACTAATTTGGCTTATTAAGATACGGGTCTCGTAATGAATCGCTTTTCTTACGAGGGTACATGTCGTGTGAGACACAAATTACGTAATAATCGTAATTCATTTCCTGGCCATCGTCCAGCGTGGAAAGTCTCGCGGCTTTACGAAGCTGGACCTCGACATCGAAACTGCCGAAGACAACCACCGGCTTCTCCCTTCCTCTCTTTCCTCGTTTCAGATATCCGTTCGGATTTTAATGAAGAATCGATAATTCGGATTTTAATCACGCTTCACCCTTCGAATTGGGTGAACATAACCGTTGTCGACACTGACATTCGACACGTCGAATGCGCATGCATCGTGAACAAAAGTCACGAGGAAGAGTCGCGAGGACGATTCACGAAGGAGAGTGGCAAAGACGATTCGTGAAGGCGAGTCGAGAGTGTGATAGAGTTGCATAATCAGATAAGAATACAAAGTAGAGCAGGTGAATACAAGGGGATACCGGCGGCCAGGCCAAAACGAGCCGAGTATCGCGTTACAAGAACAAATTGATATTTATTTTTCTTCCCTTTCTCTTAGCAAACATATAAGATACGAGGAATGTCTGGCAAGTGAAAGACATTAAAGAAAAAAAAAAGAAGACATACAAATATGACACAGTTTCGATCGCGGTGGGAAGATTGACGATTGGTCCGAGACGAATGATATCCTGATGTTTATTGTAAATTTGGTAACATCTCACAAAATGATATTCCTAATAAATGCAACTTATTGATATGATTGGGAAAAAAGAGTCAAAAGCTTTGGACGCACAAAAAGTCGAAAGCGACACCGGAATTCGGAAATTCGCTCTCGCCTCCAATCCGACTATAATCGGATCAGAGCATAGGAGAAAAAGACGGGAGAATTATGAAGAAGAAGAAAAAAAGAAAAGAGACCAACAGGAGGTAGTGGAACACTCCGTTCACCAAAGGGGGTCGTGAGCACGCACAAATAATAAAAAGCTTCTTCGCGAAGCTCGCATATCCTCGGCACCTCTCGTTCATTTCTCACACGAGTCCTTCGTACTTCACCAAGGCTCGACCACCGGAAGGTCGAAGATCACTCCCACCTGAAGAAGAGGAAGATACCGAGCTCCTTTTCGTCCTCGCTTTTCCCTCGGGAAAATCACCAGGCTCTCCGTTCGCCAGCTGGTACCACACTTGGTCCTTCACCTGGTGACTTTCTTTTCGGGACTTCCTTGGGACTTGTGGCACAAATAGACAAAACGCACACGCGATTCTCTTTCCCGGTAACCTCGAAGAGTCCTGTTGCGTCGAGGTGGAACTCGATTGATCAACTCGATCCGACACCAATCGTCTCGCGGCCCTAAGTCTCTCTCCTTTTTCTTTCTTTACTTTTTTTTTTCTTATCACCGACTCGATATATACCGTGTACACACGTGTGTCTGCGTGTTCGCGGTTTCTGTGTGAACGCGTCTTGGGGCTGTGCTTCAGCGGCCGAACGAACACGGATGTTACACCTGTATCGCGCTCCTTTTCCTTCTCCTCACCGTGCCTCTTCTCTTCTGTTGCAAGCTTCCTCTAACTAACTGGGTGTATGTGTATGTGTACCGAGGAAAGAGAGAGAGAGATAAAGAAAAAAAAAGAAGCGAAGCCGGCGGCGTCGCGGCGACGCGACGTGCTGCACTTACGTTAGAGAGCCGTTCTGTCGGGGAAACGAGCGGGGGCTCCCAATATAAGCGCGTGCAACGTGATCCTAGAGTGTAACACCGTCGTCGATTGGACGGGCAGGTTGGCCAATGGACGATCGCGTTACTTCCACGGTCAATCTACCTTTTTAGGCGGACGATGATACCGAAGAGTGCGCGCGACAAGGGGTGGCCGCGACGCCCGAGTGAGATGAAAATAGACGTCGGAGCGAGATGCCGCTCTCGTTCCCGCCCCAGCCAACGTTCCCGATCACCCCGCGGCCTCCCCCGCGCGTTACCGGGCTGTCCCCGGCCGTGGTGAACGCCGCGGATCTCGAAATGGAAGAAAGAGGTGGAGGAATTCCGGAGGGTGCGCGTCGCCTTCGCTCGGCGTCGTCTCCCGGTGGTCGTCGGGCGTGCAGAGAAGGACGACCGCTGAGAGAGGGAGAGAGAAGGGTGGAAGGGGGAGTGCGCCACGTGGAGGACGCACGTGGTCGCGCGCGCGTTACTCGGGGTGCGCGCCGGTCAGCGATGGTACCATCGCCGGTTATGTCAATGAATCGGCGTCTTCGGATGGACGGCCCCGACAGGCCGACAGCTACCTGTCGCTGGCACACTCGCTGTACTTCGTGCTCGTGCTCGTCGAAATTGACGCCCGCGAGTGTACTGAAAAAAGGATCTTATTGTCAAAACGAGTATTTGGTACATCGGTATACCACAATTTCGCTCAAATGAGGTCGCGACCAAATGCTTGGAAACTGGAGCCAACAAATTTGATTGCTGCTATATGTGTCTCACTTTCTTCATAATACGTCTGCCTGACGCAAGTGAAAAACACGCAATGCCAACCAAATCGTGTGTACCAAATATTTTGGTTCCAAATACAACGAGAAGTTTCTTAGTGTGTCATTATGAATCATGCATCCTGAGCTGACGCGAGGAATTCCAGACGTTTAGCCGTCCGCGAATGATACCCTACGAAAGCTACGACAATTAGAGCTAAAGCTAAAGTTTCGCTTTGTCATGGAGGTATTCGAGAATCTTCATCTCGGTAGTCTACAGACGAAGGTTCAATGCAACAGCACATAGCAGTGTATAGCAGTTCTTCCGCGAGATGGGACCGACGTTGGACCTCTTCCAGTTCCTGTTAATGACAGGAAGAGCCGTGCGGAGGACGACGCGATCATTGCTGTCGTGTCGACGACGTGCCGTAAGGTCGATTAAGAAACACAAGTCTTCCGTCAACTTGTCATAATCAGCGACAGCGTGTGGGAAAACTCACGTAACATGAACGACTCGGCTCGTGCAAGCTTTACAAGCTCGGAACTCCGCAAATACAAGAGTGTGTTTGGAAAGAGTTTAAGAAAATATGATTCCCAGCTGGAGGAAGAAACTTTGTTTCTTTAATCCTCTGGAGAATTTATGAATCCGGCTTTTCTGAGTTGCCAGACTTACTCTCCCACTCCTCTAATGTATTCCTTCAATATTGAATCATCATTTTAGGAGTGATAAAGCACCTAATAATTGATCATAAGAAAAATTATTTATTATCTATTAATGCAATGTCTATTAACTATTAATTCTATTATCTACTAATCTATCTATTTATTTTCTATGTATCTATTTTCTATTTTCTGATATATCTATCTATTATTAATCTGTTATTATCTATCAATTTGTTAATATTATCTATTAATATTTTTTATTAATCTATCTGTCTATTAATATTATCTATTATCAGTTATCTATAATTTGCTATCCATTGTCTATCATCTATTTATTATTTCGTCTATTAATCCAACAGATCAATAATAAGCCCGTTCTAATAAGTCATCCATTAATCTGACAGGCATTCATATCGACTTCCATGAAAGGTCCGTTAATTTTCATTCATGGCGCTTGTCCGTAGCTCGCTCGGCCGCGATCACTCTGCAATTATTACGTAAAATTATTACAGGCAATCGCGCGTCATTAGGACGCGCTTATTCCGCGGGCGTGGGTGATGGTCGACGTGCCAAGCGAGTGATAGTTACGATCGGACAGCCGGTGCCGCGGCATGCCAAACGCGTGCGACGGGGGCAACGCGAAAAGAAGCTCGGAGCTTCTGAATCACTTAAAACCACAAGCCTCCCTGTGCGGCTTCCTCTTGTCGCATGACTTATCTCGGTGCGGCAGTCAAAATTAGAGACAGAGATAGCGCGGAGTATTCGCGAGTTTCTATTTCGAGTAGGAGGATACGCGTGCGGTTGCGTGTCTCTTGGCGGAAAAATGGTCTCGCTTGTGCATGCGGGGGCTCGTGCAGATATCAGTCGAGTAATCGTCGCCCTCGTTTGAGGCGCGCTCGAACGAGATTCAACTCGGGGACGATGAAAAATGGCGGTGGCGTTCGCTTGCCAAATAAACGTGACTAAAGACTGCGCTCGCGCGGCTTATCTCGCGCTAAATCATCTCGCGAACGGCAATTTGCGAGCGAGGCGCGATTTATCGATTTTTCTCCTTTGGCACGCGCTCAGCCCGGACGGTGGACGCGCGGCAGTACCGCCCGTTAAATTAGCGATACATCCTTTTTTTATCCCGCGGGTCCCAGTTAAATAAACAGCCGAGCAAACCAATGGCCGACCAATGACGGAGAACGTGTTGGATGCCGTCGAAATACGAAGACGCGCGGTGCCTGCTGAAAAGTTCACTTGCACGGGATTTCTCGGAGGCGCCAGTTGTTTTCTTACTGTTACTGGCCAATATTGATCTTGATAGAAATATAGATAATATTGTGATATATCGATAATATAGTAAAATATAATATTTTACAATTTAGAATGAACCGGTTGAGTTAACCGAAGTTGGTAGAAACGAGCATAAACTGACCAGAAAGTAGCCAGTAACCGAAATTCCTGGCCGGAAAGAGGTCGCTCTTTCAACTTGGGCAATTTCTCTCGTCAGAATTATTAATCCGCCTCTCAAAATCGCGTTCAGGCTTAACGCGCTCGGCGCTCTCGCGAAATCGGCCGCGAAAAGCGGGGAAAAGTCCAAATTGCGTTCGCGCAGATGATCTATCGCTTCCGGCTTCTTCGAACTCCACTTCCCACGGGGTCCACGACTCCTCTTTCTCTATTTCTCTCTCGAGCGAGTCTCGATCTCTCAAGGCGCGCGCGTGTTTACGCGTCGATTTGACGCCCAAGCTGCCGACTTGGTGGAGTGCGCGAGAATCCGCGTGTCGCACCGGTGTCCTGGATCTGGATCTCACATCGGATGCCATAAATAACGACGCGTGCACCGAAAATACGCTCCCTCTTCTCCGACCCCCGACGACCGTCGGTGTCGCGATACTCGCGACCGCCCTCACGATGGATCGAGTAATCGCGATACGGCCGCTGACTCACGCAGCTCGCGCTTAATTTCGCTTAAAATTCGCGCGAGTGACAACGCGCGCACCTGAAATAAGTTTCGCGCGTCTCTAGCATTATTCCCCGCGATTTGCTCTACTTTACTCGCGCTCGGACGCCGAATGACGTCGGGATGTTGGCCGCGGCTTGTGGATCCAACATGTCGAACGTGAGGGGCGACGAGCGCGCGCACACGCACCCTTATAGTCAAAGGTCGCGAGTGTGTACGGGACGAGAAGCGACGAGGGGAAAGAGGAGGAGGAGACTCTGTGAAACGTGCACGCACACAGACACGTGCACACGCGTGGCCAGAGCGAAAAGCAGGAGAGACCGAATCTGAGATTATTTCGGGACCGGCCAACCGGAGATAAACCGGGCCAACATCGAGAGCAGGCACGGACGAGCCTCGCCGAAGTGAACGCGAAGCCTTGAGGCTTGAGTCATCGTCAGCCCGTCACCGAGGCCCCGCGAATTTGGCGTTACATCGCGCGCAACGGCAACGTAACGAGCGCGCGAGGCGACGTAACACCCCCGCCGTCCTCGTCGTCCTCGCCGTCGCCGTCGCGCCGAGGGTTTCTTCAACCGGGAAAAGGAATTCTTATAACCGCCGAAAGAGAAGCAATTTGGCGGCGAGACAAGAGGCGCGCAATGCTCGGTGTTGCATTACGTCTCGACCCACTTGCCGACGCGTCGACAAGTATTTTTATTGCCGCATAAAGGCGCATTAACCGCGATGTCCCGGTACCACCGATCAGTTCGCGCTCACCACGAAATCGGCAGCTGCCTCCTCTGCCGGAAGTTCGCGATCCACGCTCACAAGTCACCGTTATTACCGGTGTGTGCGCCTATAAAGTTGCCAGATTTGTGAGTTGACAGAGAAGACGCCCAAAAGTTCTCACAAGCAACAGGAAAAGAAAGGTCGCCGAGCAGAGTCATCTACAATCAATATATCAATATACGAGAGAGCTTTTTTATTGGAAAATAAATTTTCTCATTGGACAAGAAGGATAAGTTCCTAAATTCACAAAAGAAAACCAGAAAACCTTTCCAGCCACGAGTGTATCTGGGTGAACGTCGATTTTTGAATATTTTTCTGTCTGTTTTTTTTCTAACAACTTCTTGAATTGATGTATACTGGTGCAATAAGTTCGAACAAAATAAATGTATAACTAAATTAAATTTAACCTACTTTTGGTCTATAAGAGCTAGTAGCAGGATTATATTTGCGTGATTAAGTTTTTTTCGACAAGATAATTCTGCGATAATTCTTCTAACTCTCATAAGCTAAAAGAATGTTAAATTTAATGTATTTGTACATTTAAAGGGCTATATTTCTATTGTTGATGAAACAAGTATACATTATTTCACTTATAGCACCAAAAAATGTACACAAGTTCAGGAAGTCAAAAAAGAAGAGGTTCTTAACGATACCTCGAACAACGATTTTAGAATCCATACATATGTATATGTATAGCTCGTAGGGAAACACATGTGGTGATTAACGCGAAATTCACACGTCCGACGCAAGCGCCGAATACCCAATAGGAAGGCGACGAGAGTGTTACTAGGTGTTGACTGTGATAAGTCTAAACTATGAATGGTATTCGTAGTCAGTTGTAGTCTGTTCTTTTTAACTGAACTGCCCGAACTGCAACAAGTTAGAGCGAGACAAATGTATTTTGTTTCACTCTAACTTATTGCATCACTGTGCACCAATTCAGGCAGTTTAGCTTCTTCCTCTTCTTCTAAAGGATGATCTAGAGACACTTCAGCTAAAAAGAACAGACATTATGTATTAGCATGACTTGGTGAAAATTACAAAAGTGAACGAATCTGCTAGAAGGCTTACAATTCCATTGGTCAACACCTAGTAAATTTGCTCACTTTTATCATTTTCAGCACGATGTGTCAATACACAATTGACACCTAGGTGTTAAGAAATATCTCAAGATAAACGTGGCTACGTTCTACTAAGATATGAGTTGGATGTGCAGCATATCTGACGAGCAAAAAGAGTCCCCCCTCGATAATAGGGAAGGACAAATAGCGTCCTTGGCAGAATATGAAATTTCTGGCTAAAAAAAAGACAATCCTTCCCAAAGGGGGACATTTGGCGAATCTAGATGCGACGTATATTTCCGCACGAGCTACGTATATTTCCGCGGTGCTCTCGCATTTAATTATCTTGGGCGAGCTGAGCCTCCGAGGAGGTCTCGCTCACCAACAAAGGAGCGTCCGGGAGTTTACGAGACGTGTAGCCGGATTCATAATAAACGTAAAGCGCTAAACGACCGGCCAAAATATTTGCGACCGTTCTAAATGCGCTCGGTGGATCGCGTTTACTGGTCTCCTGAGGAAGCCCAGCGCGAGGTGTAGACACGCGCGGGGCAGAATTCCTCCACGCGGAAACATCGACGCCCTCGAATTCCTTCGCGCACGGGATATCTCTTCCCGTGGACGCCTACGTGTAACCTCTTCTTTATCGTTCGTCTCGCGCTAACGACAGGCGCCCGTCCATCAAGACCATTCTTCAGTTGGAGCCATCGTCGACGCGCTGACGGTGACGATCGTTGCTGGCGCGAAATCCGTCAGGTTATCGCCGAACGAAACGGCGGTCAGCGTTTGGCACGAGTCAAGGAAGCGGAATCGTCGGTACCCGGGGTCGAAAGGCTCGCTCATATTTCCCGTCTCCGCCCCTATTATACTCCCCGATTATTCACGGAAGGTGTTGCGTTTCGCGACCGCGATGGCACGGCGGCGCCAATGTCCTCCTCCTCCTCCCCCGTACCAATCCTTCAGCCAAGATGATATACAATGAGTAACCTCGCGCGAGAGAAGAACGCTGATTTTATCCGCACCTCGCGATAGCGGGAGCATTCCTGCGCGAGGCTATCTCGGGCCGAGAGCCGTGTGCTTGGCACGATTTGAGAGAGAGGCAGAGAGAGAAAGAGAGAGAGAGAGAGAGAGAGAGAGAGAGAGAGAGAGACGCGAGTTGCAAGATACTGATCCAGCGACATTTTCGTATAAGCTCTTTGCTGTAGATAATCGCTTTATTCGCGGAGGTCGCGATTTAACTGCAGTTTTTACAATTTAGTACAAATAGAAAAAACAGTTCGAACTATGAAACTGCATTATGTCGATATTCAGCATCCTCTTAAGGCTCTTTGTACCTCATCGCGGCCACGTGAAATTTGTGATATCAGAAGCATGCAGACAGAATAAACTCATTTCATTATTTCATCATTTATTATACGACTATTTATTACTCTATTAATCACCAGAGGAAAGGGCTAATTATACAAATGTGCTCAAGCAATCTCAAATGCTCTTTCGTCCATATTTATCTTTAATCAGAAATGGCATGCAATTTTCGTCAGCATGCCATTCCTCGCTTTTGACGTCACAAATCCGACATGGCCAGCGAGATATAAAGAGCTTTAAACGCTTTGAAGCACGTGCGTCTCCAGAGGGTAGCATCGTTAGCATCAAGCGAAGGACATCGAGCTCTCTCTCTCTCTCTGTCTCTCCCTCTCGCGGACGTCATTACGGACGTTCTAAAAATTCGCGTGTCCCCTCGAGCGTGAAAATCGAAAGGAAACGCGATCGGTCGAGGACAGCCAGGCGTCAAGTGCAAGTTCATCGGAAGCGCATGCATTAATTCCCGACTCCCGCTCTGCCACGTTTCCCTGAGGGGCGCAGCTGACCGGAAATTAATTTGGCTTAACTGCGGAAAAGCTCACAAATGTATCGCCAATTGACGTTATTAATTGGCCGTCGCGACGGTATGCCGACGCGTTTCCCCTTCACATCGAGACGCGGGCCGACGCCGTGGGACGTCTTTTGGCATCGGTCGCGCCCGTGTCGATAATAATTACGAGTTACGTTGTGTAATTTCGCGCAGTACGCCCGCTAATTCTGTCGGCACCCGTGTCTAATTCCGGCTAAGATACTTGGGCGAAGCCTCGGGACTCGTGATAATTATCGCCGCGAGATGACGGCTGAATGAATGGCCACGCGTGTGCCATTTTGTTGGCGTTCGACGAGCTAAATTATGCGGGCCAAATTACATTGTATTACATTGCACGTCGGCTTAAATCGTCCCTATCCGTCAAGTCGCTATCGACTCAATTAGCCTCATTAATCCGCCGTTCCGCTTCGCGAAGATCCGTTGTTGGACCGATCGCGACAAGCTTCACTCAGCCTGCATATCGCGTCCGCCTTGAACGGGTGTATTTAACAAACGCTCTGTTTCTCTCCTCGACGATCTTACTCGCTTATTTTCGCTACGACGTGTCGGAGTCTTCGTTATTATTACTTCATATCGCGTCGGGTCTACAGTCTCGCGCGATGCCATAACACGAGGCCGAGGCTCGGTTTGACTTTAAAGCCCAAGCGACGACGACTACGAGGAAGATAAGAAGAAGAAGAAGAAGAAGGAGAAGAAGAAGGGTTACGTAAGTACAGTCTGTTCGGCCGGGTTTCTTCGTTCCAGGTCCCACCCTCGTTCGCTTCTTCGTCCCACCTTCTGATCGCGTACCATACGCCATGCCACCTTAGCGGCTCATCGGCCGCCGCCTCTTCGCCTCACGGCGGCTTCTGGGGCTGACAGCAGCTATTTTCGTTTCTTAGCGACAATATAGCAGTTACGGCAGGCCGCGAATGCTTGGCTGCTAAGCTCAACGTTGATCCATCGTCCATCTATTTCTCTCTCCCTCCCTCTCTCTCTCTCCTTCTCTCTGTGCCTCTCTCTATCTCTCCCCTTGTCTTCCTTCAGGAAGAAGCGATCTGTTCGATCGTCCTAAAGAACGGAGTATCTCAAGAATGTTACCAAGAACTGATCCCTAAGAGCGTCCTCCACTTATCACGGCGCTTTAATCACATCTTCCCCCAGCGTCAACTGGGATACGACCGGGTTCCGATTGTGAGCGTCGCCTTATTCGTGTATTCGCGCCCGCGCATCGCGTATTTGCGTGCGTAACACGCGCATGTGCATATATCCGTTTCGTACACCTTGCTTCATGCGCGAATGACGTCAAGCATAGTCATCGTCGAGAGATGCGACCTCCTCGGCCCCCTTTTCCTTCGTCGCCGATCACCGGCTGCATCCTCTCGCAACGCACATTCTTTTCTTACCTATCTTCTACCTCCGCCTTCACTACCGCAGCGCGGCTGATTCACACAACTTTCCTGTTTTCCTTCCTTCCTTCCTTCCTTCCTTCCTTTCTTCCTTCTTTTCGTCGAGGGAGTCGCGGATGCCGATATGTTATTGCACACGCGAGCCGAAGACCGGATGCACTTTGGCGCGTGCTCTCTTTCATTACAGCGACCATCAGTTACGCGAAGTCGAAACGTCAAGTGCTTTCAGCGTCGACGAGAGCATGACGGTCGCAATTTCGCAAAGAGCGTTCATGTCTTCGTCGATTATTTTTCGCGTTTTAATAGTCTGAATATCTCGCACGACGCGTCAAACACGGTTTTTAATTATCAAATTTGGCTTGCGCATTCACACAATATATAGTACGAGATTGCGCTTTTTTTACGCATTATTTAATTCGATATTTAGTTTTACACTCACCGTACCGAAAGAGTTAGAATTTCTTTTTGAATAACCCATTGTAGGGCAACATTTTGACGTACAGATCGGCAAAGTGGAAGAAGATTTTGTCGAAAATTGATGATAATGTTAGTGTTCTGCAATTATCCTCTTTTGATAATAATTAGCCGAGATGCGAACCCTACCTTTAGTCTAGACTTGAATCAAACCAGAGAGAAACCTGAGAGCGGCTACCAGCTTGATTTTAATGGCTAGAGCTAGACGCATTTTCGAGACGCCATCTAATAAAGTGTGCCTTTACTACGTTCGTTAGGCGCATTTTCGCGGTGGTAACACCTGTGTTTACTCTTGACGTCGAGTTTTTTATAGACAAATGGTTCTCTTATTTTAATGATACCTATACAGCAGTTAATATTAATAAAAAAAATCAACATACTTATATTATTGGTATATTTAATAATATATTATTAAATAAAAAATAAAATTAGAGAAATACAATAATGTTAAAAAAATTATAATAACTTACACTAAAAAGTACTTGACGAGGCCTTTTTTTAATATTATATCAATATTCAATATAATATTTTGATAGTGATTACAATAAGAGAACCGTTTGCCTATAAAAGAAGGCACGCCAAGTGTATCCCCAAGAATATCCCCAAGAGTATCGCCAAAAGTGTCCTCAAAAGTGTCGCCAAAAGTGTCCCCAAAAGTGTCCGCAAAAGTGTCGCGAAAAGCGTCCGCGAAAGTGTCCGCGAAAGTGTCGCAAAAAGTGTCACGAAAAGTGTCGCGAAAAGTGTCGCGAAAAGTGTCGCGAAAAGTGTCGCGAAAAGTGTCGCGAAAAGTGTCCCCAAAAGTGTCCCCAAAAGTATCCCCAAGAGTATCGCAAAGAGTATCCTCAAGAGTATCCCCAAGAGTACTCCCAAGAGTACCCCCAAGAGTATCCACAAGAGTATCCCCAAGAGTATCCCCAAGAGTATCGCAAAGAGTATCGCAAAGAGTATCGCAAAGAGTATCACACTTCGCAACTTTTAAAACTATTATATACATTAAAAATATAACCTCGTTATAACCCCATTCTCGTACGCACGAACTGTCACTCGATTCTGCCGCTATGACAGTTACAAGTCAGTAAATCGGTAATCGCAACATTCTCGCCATCCCGCCATCTAACGAAGAAAATATGTGATGGAGAATTTCTGTGGTGAGGAGACGTTTCTCATGCGTAAATTCACGATTTCAGACTTTCAGCTAAAATAGCTCAGTTTCTGGAGCACATAAAGCAAAAATAAAGGCAGTTTTATGATATAATGTAAACCCAAGAAATCGACTAAGTCCCTCCAGAACTTCGTCAATTCAACCGTTATAGCCGAAACGAAAATCTAGCCTATATTCAACTAAAGCCGTCGTGTAATTATACACGGTAGGCCGCCAATGCTTCGCGCTTGCACTTGGCTTCGCGACACTACCGTGTCGCTTGATATTTCCTTGATAATCGTGTGATAATATCCAGGCGCATTTTATCGTTACCACCGCGAAAATGCGCCTAACGAACGTAGTAAAGGCGCACTTTGTTAGATGGCGTCTCGAAAATGCGCCTAGCTTTGGCTATTGAAATCAGATTGGTGGCCGCTCTCATGCTTCTCTCTGACTAAACTTAGCCAAGATTCGAACCCTAATTTAGCCGAGACGTCAACCCAACTTGGCAATGACTCGACTTAGATGACGCAGCTGCTGTTATTGGCCGAAGCCGCCACTGTTGGGAGAAGCTACGTGCTGAATGTACACGTATACAGACAACAATAATTAATTAAATTTCCCCCAACAGCCAAGTCATAACCATCCTTAAATATTTATAATAGTCAAATAAGAAATTTTAAGACTTTATCTAAATTTTTATAATAGTCAAATAAGGAATTTTAGACTTTATCTAAGACTGCTAAGTCCAAGATTAAAAGTGAACCAAAGTAAATGTAAAAATCTCGAAAAATGTGCAGGAACACCTTGAAGGAGAGGACGTCTTGCATTAACAACCAGGATATTTGGTTTCTACTGCAAACTTGCTTAAACACCGCTCGGACCTCCAAATTCATCTCTACCAACTATTTTCTCGCAGAAGAGTACAGAAAAACACTTGACTGGCGAGATTGAGGACGTATCCTTCGTTTTTTGTGCGAACGGAAAAAAGGGTCTTTTCGCACGGGATATTCTGTATTGGCCGCGTTTAGTAGAACAAGTGATCAGTAAGCGCTCAGTGAGCTCTTGCATCTGATTGGAATATAGTTGAAGATCTAAAAGAATATGCCAAATCATATACAAGAGCTCCCTGAGCGTTTACTGATCACTTGTTCTACTGAACGCGGACATTGCTTCAAACAAAGTTTTACCTCGGGGTCTACGAAACTCTACAGCCGGCATTGCCGAGTGAGATCTTTTGGAGCAGTAGTACAAGGAAGGGGGGCATTGTGTATGTGAGAGAGAGGGGGAAGAGAGAGAAAGAGAGAAAGAAAAAGCAGAGAGAGAGAAAGAGAGAGAAAGAGAGTTGGGGAAAGAGGAGGTAGTTGGTAGATGTTCGTCAGCTGACGACGATGCCGCGAGGATGTCTCGTGGCTATCGGTGAACAACGACGACGGCGACGACGACGACGACGACGCGGACGACGAGGAGCGTAGGTGTTCGTCCGGCTTGGTAGCGGGGTTGGAGGGTCGTCTGGAGTTCGAGGATGTTCGGAACAGAACGCTCGTCGAAGGGCAGTTTCCTGCAGCAGAAGAAGGCCGCGAGAGAAGACCGGGCCCACGAAAAGCGCAGGGAGGCCGCGGCCACCCTGATCCAGGCCCATGTCAGGACCTGGCTGGCTCGCGTGCGCTTCACCAAACGGATACTGTAAGTGAGACAGTCTCTCGGAACACGGCGACGGCGACGAGCCCGGAGCGCTTCAACAAGGGATGGCTTCCGCGAGAACAAGGCTGTCAATAAGTGCGCGTGATTGGGCGAATGCGTGTAGTTGAATGCCTGCGTGTTTACGCGCGCAGGAGAGGCTCTGTTCGTCTCACATACACCTTTCGGACTATGTCACTCTCTTTTCTTGCTCGCTCTCGAGCTCGAATATACGTGCGTTTCGCTCTCGAGTGCAGAAAGTGCAGACGGCACGAACAGACCTCGACTACGGCGAGGAGACGCGCGTGTGTACGTGATGTAAATAAATGTCGCAGATAGTTTATCAAGCTCTCACTGAACTTCCGCACCCGAACACGAGAAAATTCTGGACTTGCGTGGTTAATATCGAGTGTATACTGCGTGTCAATCACGCCCTAGAGTTTGAGCGCAGATATTTTCAGATGAAAAATCGAGACGCGCTTCGCGTCTAGATATTCATACATCGTGATCGTCCCAATGAAGGAAACCGAAACTTTTTTTTTTTTATTTATTTATTATGATGTTCTGCAGCGTGTCGTGTTTTTATCTTTTGTAAAATTATTATTCAGTTTATCGTAAACTCATAAACATTTACTGTTATCAAATCAACGTAGCTGTGAGTCACGATGTATGAATATCTAGAAACGATACGTTGCTTTGAAAGTGCATAAAGCGAAGCTGAAAGCGTCATTGACGCCTTGTCTATTACGTCGATAAATTTCTAGTGTGTATTTATAAAACAAATTTGCAAATAAGTTGAACTATCGAATTTAATTTGCACATGGAGACAATGTTATAGTTTTTTTTCATATGAATTCTTAATTTTAATATGTTTTTAGTAACCCTGGAATAGACTGTCAGTAATCCTGCTTGAAAAACATTTGATAAAATTATATAAGAAAAATGTTATTGAGTAGTGTTATTGAGTAGTGTTTTCGATAGGAAAATGATAAAATTGCACATAATGACTTGTATACTTGGATAAATATTTAAAATCATTTGGTACAATATTTAAGTTACAATATAAAACAAAAGAAATTAGTAACTCTCTTCTATGAGCTGTAAGATATGAAAAAATGAAATTTCGGGTAGGAATGATGAGTTTAGATAAAATCATGTAATATTTCAATGAAATTTGTATACATTTTCATCAATTCTTATCGGATTTTTTCAGTAAGAAAGATCTATCTAAGAAACAGTAAATTTCACTAGAAACAGCAAATTTTGTTAAAAACAGCGAAAGTTTTAATAGAATATTTCAGTTCTTGAAATGTATGAATGGCACATATGATATGAAATGTGATAGGATAGTACTTACTGCAGAATGTCAATCTATTTCTCAACTATAAAATAATTCGGCCAGAGTAATTTTCACTGTAACATTTTCTCGATGTAAGTAGTGTAATGTTATTCAATATTATAATGTAATCATAAGTTCAGTATAAGTTTCTACTGAATTCACCATGCATCACGAGTGTGATCGCAGATCACACTTAATCACACATAATTTTTGAAATTTCCAGCGAAGAGTTCGACAACAACTTTCTCGATGACACCGGCACAGAGACCGCGAGTGTGGAATTGAAGCCGGCTCTGGATGTATACAGAATTATCTCTAGATTTTTGTTAGTACATAAAAGAGAGAGGGATCAAGACAGAGTAGAGAGAGTCTGTAGGTGGGTATACGAATCTGCAAATTCTCTCGCGCGTTTCTTCGGTTAGGACGTTACTCGCAATAACGGCGACGCTTTCAGATACCTCGTGCTGACTCTCGACTCAGAATCACCGAAAATATCCTACGTTGGAGTCGCACTCAACAAAGATCACTACATATCATGGATATCGCAGATGAAGACGGTCCTGTATCACTGCCTCTGCGGCCTGGAGAACCTCAAGCCGGAGAGGGTGGCGGACCACAAGTCCATATTGCTGCGTCTACACACTCTGGTGAGCTTCACGTCATCAAGCACGTGGGCTATCCAGAGGGTAAAGGGCATGGACAAGCTGAAGACTGGCATGAACCAGCTATGTGCAAACATCATGGGTCATCTAGTTAACAACGGATTTTACGCCATCATGCAGGTAATTTTAATAATGAAAGACTTGCCACGTGATCCTACACGAAAAATACAACTGAATTTTTGATTGTCTGGGAATCAGATAAGAAACTCGATTATAGAAACAAATATTTCTTCCCTTTGGGAAGTTTCTAATCATAAGTAAATCTATCCAAAAGTTACACTCCGATTTCTTTCTAATTTGAAACAAATGTAGAAGCACAAAAAATATTTAGGTCGCATTTTTTCATTGGCCCATTTTGAATTTTACGGTCAGTTTATAGCTTTTTAATGTTCTCACATATCATCAACAAAGGTAACAAAAATGCATAAGAAATAAAATTGAATATAAGATATAGACGTTTTTGGTTTGCTGATTATGAATATGAAGTCAAATGTGTAACATTATTTATATAAATAATAAAATGTTTAAACAAAACATATAAAAAGTAGAAAAAATTATTTATACAAATAATTTCTCGGTTTGGCCGAGATTCGAACCATTTTGGACTAATTTAGCACAGATTTGAAATATTTCAGTTGGAATCTCAGCTAAAGAAATTTAGAATGTTGCGTGTTTCAGCTATGCCGATTTTGTTAAAATGATTTAACTATATCTTGTATTCAATTTTATTTCTTATGCATTTTTGTTGTACTTGTTGATGATAGGAATGAGAACATTAAAAAGCTATAAACTACCCATGAAACTCAAAGTAGGCCAAAATGAAAAAATATAACCTAAATATTTTTTGTATTTCTACATTTGTGCCAAATTAGAAAGAAATCGGAATGTACCTTTTGGGTAGGTTTACTTATTAGCCAATTGCTTTCAGTTACCTCCAACGCGTTTTAATGTAACTGCATATACAGACGAATGTTTTCGATCGTAGTAACAGAGATATCATTTCTCGTTAGCGAGTTCTTCATCTGATTCCCACTCAATTACACTTTATTTTCCGTGAAACTTTTCTAACAGTCCTAAATTACGTTCTTGGTTTTAGGCTTTGTTAGTGAAGGGTTTAGGAAGAGCAAAGATCGCTCTGAAACCGGTCACACTTTCAGCGGCTGTTACCTTGACTCTAAGGCCGCTGATCTCTTCGCAAATGTCGGACAAGCTAGTGTCCTTATTCTTAATTAACATCTTCAGCGTGCCAGCGCTGGTCCATCACTTGAACATTCTATCGCCGGAGGTATGAGAACAGAAGACAGCTATTTCCGCGATATGACACAGTAGTGTCAATTTAATTCCTTTCTCTCTAATCAAAAAGTTTCTGACGCGTTTCTGTTCGCAGTGCATTTCGTCCTTCATTACAAACAATCTATTCGCGAGGAGTTTGGAGTTACTAAATTCAGAGCAAAACCTGAGGATCGTCTTTAACGCTCTAGAAGGGAGTTACGCGCTCTGCCTGCTCGCGAATCTAATACAACTGGCGAATATCGAAAGGGAGGAGATGTTGAGAGAGCTCTACTTCCCTTCTTTCACGGTAAGACTTTGGTATTAAAGCCAATATTGTCTCGTCGATTTCGGATCTCGTTCGAATCAGAAGTAGAACTCGCCGGAATTGCTCTCCCCCAGTTTTGATCCCCACGAGATCGTTGCTCCAATTCCGCGAATCCCTTACAGTTCGTCGTGACGAAGATGTTGGAAGCGTGTCAACAATACGTGGTCGCTAAACAGAGCAACTTGACGCACTGGCATCCCGTGCTGGGTTGGTTCGCACAGACTATCGACACGTCCTTGCAGGATGCTATTCCTTCGGTGAAATTGCAACTAGCCTGCCTATGGACCGGCAGAATTGTCTCGCAACTGATCGGTGAGGCTCATCGGTTTTAATACGAAACTTTCACGCGAAATTTACGCGACAGTCTACTATCTTTCTACTCTTTCTTTCTCTTCAGAGCAGCCACTGACCGAACTCGTTGAGAAAGAGGTGCCACCCACGGTGGAGCAACAGAGCACCTCCGTAGGCGCCAACATTTTCCGACGAGCGTTCTTGGAGGCGCGCACCAACAGGAATAACAGCACCAAGAACTACAGGAAGCTGGGCAGCCCCGAAACCACCAAGATAGCTTTGATCTGCTCCTTATACCAAACGGCGCTGCACACTCTCACGCAGATGAAGGTGGAGATATTGACTGGTATGCAAACTAACGCGAATAATAGACGACACAAATGATTTCGGTGTCTTTGCATATAGCCCGAAGTTTTCAACGATATTAATTGCGCACGCATATAACACGAACAGGTCTATGCTATCAGGACAAAATTCTCTACCACATGTGGTTGTTTCTGGGCACCCTGGGACCACACTGCGGCCTGAAGGCGTTCTTGGATCTTTTGGCGGCCAACACCAAGTGCACAGCGCCTGAGTTCCAGATGCTCATACTGTTCTCCGATTGTATGACGCATTACGTGACGTAAGTCGGACATTAAAGGCAATTAACACGATGACATTCGCATTGTCGCAACTGGATCTGATTTTGTTTTGATTGACGCTAATCTCGCTTTCTTAACTTCAGTATTCTCGACGATATGGAGATGTATGAGCAGCAAGACCCTTTCAAGCTCACAGATTTCGTCACCATATCGTACTTTCTCAATCAGTTTTTATACAAAGCGGTTCTTACTAATCTATTCGGTGAGTATTGCCCGATTAAAGTGCATAGACGACACGCGTAGCCTGTCTCCGCTAAAGTCTCGGTTGTTGCAGATGTGAAGTCGGTGTCCAGCAATCCTCTGTTCACCTCGCTTCACACTCTTCTCATGGCTATCTACCGACGTGATTGTCGCCGCACGTTCTGCCCGGAAGGCCACTGGCTGGCCAAGTTAAGTTCCCGGCTTTACCTCCTCTACTACTCCAATTAATTTTTACTGTGTATTTACTGCAAAGGTCTAATTGCGGATTGTCGAATTTTATTTGCATGCGATTGATCAACGTGATGGAGCAATTGTGTCGTCTCCTCTATCGCGATATTCTCTGTTGTGATTTACGTTTCTCTCTGGAAAACAGGAAGTGCGAGTGTCCACCTTCATCGCCGACCTGGAAAAAGGTCGACGTGGTGCGGCGCTCTTACTCTCCAAGATGCCCCACGTTATACCTCATTCCGAGCGAGTCGTGTTATTCCGCAAACACATAGCTGATGAGAAGGCAGTGATGGGCTTGACCGAAAGCGCTTGCAACAGTCCACCGACCACTCTCATCGTCGTGCACAGGTCAGTTGCTTGACTCGTTTTCCTGTGTGATTTTACTTATTATACCATGTACTATTGTATCGACATAGATTTAATCGTGACTATCGCGAACGATTTTGCATTTCACAGGACGCGAATAGTCGAGGACGGATACAGACAACTAGCCATGTTGCCGTCGCAGGCGCTCAAAGGTGTGATTAGAGTACGTTTCGTGAACGAACAAGGCTTGGCCGAAGCAGGTATCGATCAGGACGGGGTCTTCAAGGAATTTCTCGAGGAGACAATAAAACGGGTGTTCGACCCATCTCTAAATCTGTTCAAAGCCACCAGCGAAAACCGACTTTACCCATCTCCCACGTCTTTTATGCAGGACAATCACTTGCAACTGTTCGAATTCGTCGGGCGAATGCTCGGTAAAGCAGTTTACGAGGTAAATCGTCCCGCTTTCCACCAAGTCCGCGAGCAGACGCATAATTAACATCCCGATATACCAATTCTATCTTCGTTTCCAGGGAATCGTCGTGGATGTGCCTTTCGCGTCGTTTTTCGTCTCCCAATTTTCTGGGCAGGCGGGCGGCGCGCTGTACAGCTGGCTCGACGAGCTCGCGTCTCTGGACCGCGATCTATATCGCAGTCTAACTCTGGTGAAGCATTACAAGGGCGACGTGAGGCAGCTTGAACTGACGTTCTCGCTGGACGAGGACGTGCTCGGCAAGCTGGTTACGCACGAGCTAGTCCCCGGCGGACGTACTACCGCGGTTACCAACCAGAACAAGATCCACTATATCCATCATATGGCGCACTATAGAATGCACCATCAGATCAAGGAGCAAACGACAGCCTTCATCAAAGGCTTTCGTTCGATCATCAATCCCGACTGGCTCTCGCTGTTCTCTACGCCCGAGGTAAGCGAATATCATCACGAATGGCTTTAAAAATATGTTCGCGGCATGGCAATTGTATCGTGAGAGAGGAAAATCACGGAATACGGCGCGGTACGTAGTTACAGAGACTGATTTCGGGCGACAATGTTCCCTTGGATTTGCGGGACCTAAGGAGGCATACGCAATATTACGGTGGCTTCCACGACAGTCATCGAGTAGTGTGCTGGTTGTGGGACATTTTAGAGAAGGACTTTACGGAAGAGGAGAGGGGTTTGTTCCTGAAGGTAGCTATCGCGATTCTTCAGGACTCGTTGGGTTCACCTAATTGATAATGATTCTTTGAAGATATTAACGATTTCCTAACAATGATCCTATTATCTTTAACAATGACGTTTCAACAGTTCGTGACAAGTTGCTCCAAGTCGCCGTTGCTGGGTTTCGCTTACCTGGAGCCACCTTTCTCCATACGGTGCGTGGAAGTTTGCGACGACGAAGACACCGGCGACACTATCGGTATGATTATCGTAAGAAATGGTCTTGTCCGAAACGTGATTAAATTTTGACGTTTTTAATCGATAATCAACGACATCGAGTTACGTGAAGCTGACATAATCGACAGCTTCGGTACTGACGAGCTCTCGATATCTTGTGTCTGACAAAATCTCATTGTCAAGTTTTGCTTTTGCAGGCAGTGTGATCAGAGGTTTCTTCACGATTCGCAAGAAGGACCCGCAGAACCGACTGCCCACCTCGTCCACGTGTTTCAACCTGCTCAAACTGCCCAATTACCAGAAGAAGAGCACACTGCGCGAGAAGTTACGTTACGCCGTCACCAGCAACACCGGCTTCGAGCTCTCCTAGATCCCTCGAGTGCGCGACTTTTCCCTGCAGAGTCGAGGAACCGATCAACGCATTTTCGCACGAATTTCTCGCGCGATACCGTGATCGTGTAGGTATCTGCTCTCTCAGCAGGATAATGACATTCGATCAGACTAAAATTTGCGCGAGGCTTCAATGAGTGCGAGCTCACTCATACGTTGAATGCATCGTGGAGCCGATTCTCGGGACTGACGATGACTTTTAGCAAGAAGAAGATCGAAGCGTGCCTAAGCTGCCCTTACACCGACGCAGGCTGATTCGGTTTGAACACTTCGATCTTTAGGTGACGCGAAGTTGCTTGTAAAGAGACTAGAGAATGCCAATTCTCTTCAAGCGCGTTGTATTTCCGACGATTTCGCAGTTTCAGCGTTGCTCGACGACGAGCATGGATTGTATCGCGAGAGAGAATATGTACAATATAAGAATATATGTTAATAAAGTTCGCGGATACAAGAGAGAGAGAGAGAGAGAGAGAGAGAGAGAGAGAGAGAGAGAGAGAGAGAGAGAGAGAGAG